ACTAAAATGGTCTTCACATCTACTATTAAAGTGTTAAAATTTCACTTATTTGGCCAAAAATTGATTTAGTTATATAAATATATGAAATAATGTGTTGTTGATATTATAATTGCACTTCCAGTCACGCCGCAAAAAAGTTTAACCAAACAGTAGACGAGGTTCAATGTGTAGTCAATCACGTAAATTAAGCCAAACATATATAAGTTGAATTTAAAGTTGGTACCAGCAGGTTAAAACATATTTTTTGACAAATTGATCCGATAATTTTGTGAAGTGTAAGTAACCACTAAAATAAAATGCTAAAAAAGACTAACTCATATGCTATTTTATCCCACGCTAAATTATCGGACTGAGAGTCAATTTTAAAAATACACCAAGTATTCTCATGCTAACCTTATTAGATTCATAAAGTAAAACAACAAACACTACTGAATTCTCCATGCCCTTTGATTGGAATTTTTAATATATATGTTTTCGTAATCGCTTCCTAGTATCTGACATTAGCGTGAGATCTTCGGTGAACTCCATAATAGGACATCTTTCCCTTCAAGTGCTTTACTTTTGTTAAACGCATTAAGTGCGTGGAGTGTTTGGTTTCTTCTTAAAAAATTATTCCACTATTATTAACATTTATCATTGTTTATATAAATATTTCAAGGAACAGAAAACTGGTATGCAGGACAGACAAAATATGAAATGAGAGAAAAAATCCAAACATGTTCAGATAGACGTATTTCCTACCAAAAGTTGCAATTGGTTTACCATTTGCAGCCTTTAAGTTGAACGTAGGTTCCTTCTGTCGATCGGCGGCTGTAGCAATAAGAACGCAGACTTCGGCGCCTGTGCCGACAAAATATCGGGTCTGGCTGATCACATCATTGATGTAAAGTAGGCGGCTAGTGCCACCGGCGACGGTTGCCGCTAACGCGTGCCGGCGGGATAGTTTCCCACAGACTATGAGACATTGCCGAAGTTACAAGGTTTACGACAACATTTCACTTCCTGGCTATAGGTGTTGTGATACCAACACCAGTCAGATTTTTCAGTGAACGTGGCTTGGACTTCGATCGACCATGTGTGTTTCGCCGTTGAGGGGATTTAGAACGACGGTAGGAGGAATTAGTAGGTATGTTTGACCTAAGCATCCGCTGGATGGAGTTGCATAACTCTATCACTGCAGTATACTTAGTTGAAGTCTGTTTGGCCACCGAGAATATTTCAGGAACTGACCGTTCAGTTATTTCTAGAATTTTATCTGCAGAAACAGCTATGTCGTCTTCGATAACACCCTGAAGTGCCATGAGCACAGCCTCTAATGACTGTGGCAGTTTGAATAAGAACAGTTCTCTGAAAAGTCCTTCATTAAATTGACGGTGGAGAGTGACTTCTCTCATTCTTGTCAGCATGTTAACGGTTGACCCATCCTCTAAATCGATGTTTCGAAATTATTCATCAAGACGCTATCGATCCGTGAGAACGTTTCTCCTGAGAAGGGATGCTTTAAGCAAGTACGAGTTGCCTATCTCTGTGCTCGATATCTGGACAGTTACGCACTCGCTGAATTCCCTCTCTAAGGCGTGAATAACTGCGAGGAACAGTGAACGTTGATCAGTTAATCCATGTTCGCTGAAATCAGACTCAGCTATTTGAAACCGTGATTCAGCATTATCTGACCAATATGGTACGAGCTGAATGGCTTTGGTAGTTGGGCGAATACGAATGACCTTGGGACTAGGATCACTCATGACGAAGTGTATGCCGATTACAATACAGTACAAGAACAAATACAAAATGGAATGAAATCACCGGGTTTATCTGCGTATTTATCGAAGATGAAGTTCGCGGTTGGGCTCACCAGTTTAGAGGCTGACGGTATTAAAGTCGCGAATTGTACGGAGTATACTAACGCAAGATCTTATACCAACAACTTCAATAGTATTTGTTCCTCGTGTACCAAAGACAAAGCAAAACGCCACAAAGGATCGTCCAAAGTATGAGATATATTTCGGGACCAAATCGTGAATCGTGTCGAGTGCTTAACTAGCTAGTGATCGTGCACGCACGTGACACGACGGAGTACCAAATGGCGGGGATGCTTGACCGGAAGCCTTCAGCTAAACAAGTCGAATTAAACAGGGAGGTTCAGCATCCAATGTTGAGTGATGATTGCTGTGGTCAATAATTTTAGGGAATTATTTACCGCTACAAGCCTATCATCTTTGTTCAAACAATATAATTTCTCAACTCCATCGTATAAGACTGCTACGTGAGCTATTTATTTATAACCACATTTCAGGGTTGTTTAAACACAATCATAGGCTTTTGATTTTGGTGTGTAACGAACCATTGATATTATCGTAATTGATTGGTTTATTCCGCAAAGAGGAAAGCTTTCACAGATGTTGTAATCTCAGCCTTCTTTTCCGCTATGGCTACATTTCTCTTAGCTGGCTTTGGCAGCAGCAAGTGTTACTGTCCCTGTTACCCTTTAATTTGGATCACGTAACCAGGATATTACTGAAGAATTCCGTGCAGAAAAAGTTCACCGCATGAGACCGCATCCCTTGTGTATCAAACCTTAATTTTAGCTCACAAAAGTACTATGACAATTTTCGGCCACGAAGGGAGTACACAGAAAGTAGACCTTTCTAATCTAACTCACACAGTCGCGTGAGAGCTTATGCAGAGTTGTCAGCTGAAGTGGTGAGAACCACTGGTGACTACCAGGAATGCCTAATGTGCATATTTTAGTTTAATGTTGATACAGGTGCACTCCTGAAATTGACCCTCGAGAGGTTGAGAGTGTTGACGTTCACGGATAGTATGATTTATACTAACGCAATATCTGATACCCGCAGCTGCTATAGTATTCTTTCTGCGTAGACCAAAGGCAAAGCAAAACAACAGAAGTATATTTCGGGACCGAATCGGAGTGCGATATGATTGCCTAATTCGCTAGGGATCATGCACGAACGAACGGACGTGTCAGATGGTATTGATGCTTGACGGTAATCTTTCAGCTAAACAAATCGACTTGAACAGTGATGACCAGCATCCAATGTTCAGTGATTAATGCTGTGGTTAGTAATTTTGGGGAATCACCTACCGCTACTAGCCCAATTGAGTTTGGCGACTTAGGGTTTGACTTGTTAACAGGGGTTAGCCTTGTCTTATGCAGATTTTGTCATCCTAGCTAAATACTCTGATGAAATCCGGAGTTTTCGGAACACCTTGAGCAGAATTCTTTGATTGTTTGGCATGAAATTCGCTACCGCCAAGTACATGATGATACTGCAAGACCAGACTGGTGCGACTACTGGGTGAATGATAAGGAATGAAATGATACGTTTTTACAGCTTCACTTATTTTGGAAGTTGCATCAACCTCACTGGACTGATTTCTGACTGAATCTCCGCAGAGACATAAAAGGTTCGTGTGGCACTAGCCGGTTCACGTGACCTCTAGCGTATACGTGATATCTGGCCATCGATCAAACGATATGTGTACTGCGCAGCAGTTGGGTGTCTTCGTTTATGGCTGTGGTACATTGTTATTGAAAGTGGAAGATATGGAAAGGCTAGCCATCTTTAACTACAGATATTTGCGATTTATGTCCCATGTTAATTGGTATAATGGTGTAAGTCCAGTCAATCGACAAAGTTATGAAACTATGTCTACTGAGGTGGATTGAACAGGCTTCGTGCATGCCAGGCTACCACCCTACCCGTCAAGTAATGTTAGCTGACAAATGAAAGAGGTAGCGGTGGTCAAGCCCATGAAGCACCTGACGGTCGTTTTTAGCCATGAAGGGAGGAGTAGACTGCCTAGTCAGAGAGCTTGGAATTCTAAGAACCCATGGCTGGAAACTATGTGATTTCACTCAAAATTGTGTTCATAACAATGCATTGTTAATATTTCCACCCATATTCTTACTGAACAATATCATCAGTGTAAATGCCCTCTTGTTATTTCCCTCGTACTACATTAAGTGAAAAATTAGATGCAAAACTACATTACACGCTGAAAATCCTACACTGTATCAAAATACTATTAGAAATAAACCTATTATTAGTACTGTTATGTTTAATGCGTTCAGAATTTTGCACTATTTCTTTTTGCCGCCACTGACGTTTGCTAAGAAGACTTTCAGTCCATTTTCGTTTGAGTTTCTTCTCTTCCTCGTCAGGTTATTAACCTGCCGCAGTTAGTCTTCGAGCATCAGTCATTTTTAACAAAACTACGGATATGTAGCAGCTTTGAATCGAAGTCACTCACTGACACTGAACAGACTATTAGAACAAAATCTACGATGGTTTCACAGCGACTCAAACTACGGCCTTCCATATTTATACATGAAGTAGAAATTAAAGTGGAAGACGAAGAAGAGATAGGAGAAGCGCATTAGTAAATTATATGGAGTGAATAATAAGACAAGCGTATCTGTCACAATTCAAATGGTTCTATTCTATATCACCTACAGCTTCCAATCATCGGTTTTGGTTACGCGCAAATGGTTTATTCCTTAAAATAAGAATATGTATCACATGCATGTGGCTTATAATCAATACATTCGTCATAACCAATACAAGGTTTCTGATATACTCTCCAGAAGGACACCAAGTCAATCAATTTTTAAAAACAAGCTTTTAGACGCCTATAACAACAAATTATAACCTCGAATTTTGTTTATCTGACAATTGTCTTTAACTACTTTGCATTTTGCATTGTTAAACGCGATTTTCTAACGGAAGACATGACATAATAACGGCGCCCATTGCTGCAAATGAATGTAAGGCAAGTACATCTGTTCTGGAGCAGCCTCCAATAGTACAAAGATATATATACGGTAAGAAATCAGAATTTATACAAAAAACGTATATATTACAGATCACAGAAAACAAATATAGAAAAAAAAGGAATGATAAACTTGAGCAGTGAGAAATTGAAATAAACATAAAATTGTATTTTACTGGATGATATTTATTGGACAAGTCATTATGTTATGAGGCAGATTGTTTAATTAGTGGAATCTCCAAAATTGCAGAAGCTTCAGGACGATTGAATGGATCAATATCCAAAAGTTTCAGAACGAATTCAGTCTAAAACAAATCAGAGAAAAGAAATAATTAGATTGACAATTTAATAACCAGTAGGTTATACGATTTATAGAGGTCAAAAACTGCATAATTGCATCATGTCAGTAAGCTTAATGTGCTAATTTACGTAATACTAACCTAAGGACTTGTTTTCTAAAATTATTTCTTAACTAGTTCTGTTGATCAGTGTAGCAAGTACAAATTACAGTACACTTATGGTTAAGTTCATAGGTAAATGAAATATATCCGAAATTTATTATAACAGCAAAAATGACAAGCGTAATTAGCATTGGACAATATAGTTACATTCTACTGTATCAAAATCCTGATAGTCAATTTAATTCAGAACACATTCAGAGCTGCTGTTATCTTCGAGCAGCGATGGTGTACCTTGGTTACATCATAATAATGAGTCAGATATCAACATAGAAGAGGTTGATTTTTTTAGCTCAGTTGAAGAATAGAGGTTGCAATGAGGATGTAGGAAGTGACACTTCTACCTTACTATAAATGAATACTACTAAACTTTTGTTTGAAAAATATCTGCCTAATTCAACAGATTTATCTGTAAACACTTTTTGTATTTATAACCCTCTATTATACACGCCTATATCACTGTATAACAAATACGTAACGCAAAACCAACTGGTCAACGAAAATGAAGGATCATGTTGTTCTCAAAAATATAGTTAAGCCTTTTATCAACTGCTCAGAAAGTTGAATCACTCACTACTTATCACAGCTACTGACCCATCATATAATGACATAGTACTCCAAACTCCCTACTTCTCTGACGGATCCATAAGGAACAAAACTCACAAACGAAAAATGAATATAAATATAACAAAAGGATGAGGCATAAGATTATTAGTGTCTGTCGGTGGGGTGGTAATGATGACTAACATTGTTCAGGACTGTTTAGTTATTTTCAAGGTCTTTGAATTACTTTTGGGCTGTGCTCTTATCTGTCCTTCCCGTCAATTAGTTTTTGTTTGTGTAGTTTTATATTTTCGATACATGATAAATTTATTTAGATGATGAGCAATTGGTCTGAATCTGCGAAATACAATGAACTCCTACTAACACTTTTGCTTTTGATATATATTCAAGTTCGTCCTACGTAATGGCCTTTACAACAGGCTAATTAAGAAAGGGAAATCTTTTGTTTTTGATAGGTAATAGTGTAACTGATAAACTATAGCATTTAACCATTCCTATGTGCATGCTCCTATGATAGGGTAATACGTATATAAGTTGTTCAATGCCAGTTTAATCATTCAGAAGGTGTAAGAAGCATTATTCTACATTGTTGCAAACAGGTAAGAAACGATCGAGAAGTGGCGTAATTGTAAATTTTTCAAGTCTGTCCGTCAGAATTTAAATTTAACAAATATTGATCACCTATACTAAAATAATCAGGCAACCAACCAATCATATTCATCACATTGATAAACGCCTAAAAGTTAATCAGATAATAACCAATAGGATTTTTCCACGTATAATGGCTGCTCACTGATCGACCCAGTGTTGCAGCACATAATTAGTTCGCGATACTTTTTTCCTTGACCATTGTAATTATAAACATGTGATCAGAGTACGTCTCCCTCGCTCGTTTGCAAATACACGTTCCCAATATTTATGTATGAGTCGTTTAGAAGTGATCAGCTCCAGTCAGGGTAAATTTACTTGGCGATTGTCAAGTACTCATTATTGTCAACCATATTCCTGGAGAAATTCAGCAAACTTAACAAACAGTCATTCATCCTTGAGAAACAAATCATCAATTAGAAACGTGCATAAATACGGTAGACGCACTGAATTATTTGCACCGTTGAAGACCTAGTATTCCACATGAACAAACCCGATCTATCCACACAAAAGAAACTTCTCACTTCTCCAACCTTGAATTCAATTTCAAGTTCCACATTTTATTATTTTATTAAATACAACTTTTGTTTGTTTTATTCAACTCGTACGTGAAATTCACTCATTTTTGTTTCTGTGCTATTCCTGTTCATATTCAATTTTTCAACTATTTTAGCATATCTTGTGAACAGTGTACTACTACTTGTAGTCGACACACAATATGCTACCGAGATATAGAAACTGTAAATTGTTTTCCATACGAGAATAAGAAATGCTGAAGTAGGTGAAGTGAGTTTAACCCTGTCACCTAGTGTGCAGAATGAGGAAGCACTGTGAATCTACACAACACTAATCAACTTCATCGCTAATTCTTCACTCATAGGTACACAGAAAATAAGTAATCAAATAACTCGTATAACGACGGCGGTAAAATGATAGACAGACTTACTTCGACCGGATTAAAAGTGACAAAATCCTTTGGGAGTTTTTGTTGTTTTGCCCGTGTCAAGGTGTAAATCCTTTCCATTGATGTATTGAATATAATCAACAGTTCCAAGAAGATTAATCCCAATGAAAAGATGTCCACTTTATGGTCATAACTATCACTTCGTTCCTATCAAGTAGAAAAAATACAAAAACATTTAGGAAGGCGAATAATTAAGTTCGGTCACGGACTGATATCAGTTAGAGAACCAATGAAAATCAGGGATAACTGGACAACTTTTCTTCGAGGTTTGGATCTCTTCAGAATTTCGCATTCATGACTGCACCAGAGATCGAATCCAGGACTACACTACAAAGTGAGCCCGTTGATCATCAAACCACTGGGACGATATCCAACAGCTAATGAACTCTAACTTCCGTTACACTATTTCTTGCTGCCAGTGGCTCTGATGAGCTGGAACAGCTTCCAACGATTACCAGATGCAGCTGCTGACTCCGTCTCACGTGCACGTTCTGACCACCAGGCTTTGCGGTCGTTTCATAAACACCCTAATCTCGCGCACAAGCGCCTTTCGCGCGTTGTTGAACTTGCTGCCTGTCGGAATGGACGGGCATTCATCCGGGAGTTGCAAAGAAATCGCAGAAACCCAGTGGTTTTTAGCGGAGTATTCTTTTAAGCTGCAAGCGAATTCACTCGCCATTTACATAGTGCCTTGAGAATGTAGCCAATGTTTACCTATACTACTTGGAGGGTTTCTAGCTAGCTTTGATTGTAAACCAGCCTGATATTTCAAAGAAGTAGCAGGTGCTACCAGTTTGCTCACATCAACATACACATGACACCCCACCAAATCGCGAGACGAACATGTCACACACTAAGGCATGATCGGAGTCCAAGCAAGTGCTCAAGAAGAGGCAACAGTCTTGTATGCATCCTCGTCACCGGAAACTGACAGCAAAATGATCAATCTGAGTCCAGGATGATTAGTAGAGGGAGGACGCCAGGTGGCGCTACGACGATGGCTGTGGAAGAAGCTGGTGCTGGCTAGAAAAAGGTTGTGATCTGCGCAAAGCTGCAGAAGACGGTTCACATGATCTGACCTGCAACCACGTAAACCCCACTGACCACGTAGACAACTCTCCTCCGCTCCTAGACGCCCGATCTGTGGATTGAAGTCCTCAGTCAGCACTGCGATATATCCCTGGCGCGCCTGTTTCAGCAGACCGCTCAGTCGGTTGTAAAACTCGTCCTTAATTGCATCCGGGCTGCAATCCGTCTGTGCACAGGCGCAGACAACAAATAGGCACCGCCTATCCGGTCTACCGCTTCTTACTTTCATGTAACCTTCCAGCCTCAAAGCACATAAACGACTGTTAATGGGGATCCAGTCGAGTAATGCAGCTTCGGCTTTAGCTCTTAGTTCGACACCGACACCTGCTACGCTGGATGCTGATGCCAGAGCCCCCGGACAAGCGCGGGTGGTACATACTATTCGAACTTTCAGATGGAGAAAATAATCAAAGCACTTCATTGGGATCTTAAATGCGGTCTTCGAGATGCAGTAGTTATCGATAGCGAGGTTTTCCATTTTTCTTACCAAACCTGCCTCTTGTCCAGTTTGCATTAGTGTCCAAACATTGTAGGTGGCAAGCTTGAACTCGGTACGCGGTTTAAGGATATCCATGTTGGGTGTCACATTGGGGACAACCATTTTGAAGGCTACTCACTAACATCTCGAAACGGCACAGATGGGCTGGGAATTCAGACAAAGGCGAAAGGCTGACGAAAATGAAGTCACCCAGAATAGCAAAAGTAAAACAAAGGAGTCTGTGTATAAAAATGAAAGTAAGGTTGGAAAGAGATGTGTCACTTGAAACATCATTATTGTTTGAGAGCATTGTTAAGAGCGCGCAATAAGTTTCACTGAGTTTGTTGCTTCATTTCATTGATTGTGTGAAGGCTGAGGTACTGCTCAGGCGCCCAGACCGAAGCACGTGGTTGTTTTAAAGGACCACCCCCGAACCTTTGACTTAGAGTCTAATCCGCAAGGCAGCAGAGCAGCGTCAGGAGCTACTTTCCCATGGTTGCCGGTGACCAGTACAGGTTCATACGCCATTCGATCCTATTCGATTCTGGAGCCCACGGTTCCCATAGTAACTGTTTTTGGTCTAACCGCTATATAAACAACCTCCCTAGCATGGTAAGACCTGCAGAAACACGAGTCCCAGTCAGTGTAACTTGTTGGGTCACCACAGTATTCAAGCCCGACCGCCACGACAAGGTATTTGTCGGCCGGGCCTTCGCAAAATATACAATCACAACCCCGAGTTGAGTAGCCTTTGTCTCAGGTTTCACTGAAAACATGGCACCAGTCAATGAATCACAACAGTTAGTCTAAGCCACGTAGGAAGGTGTAGACTTCCGGTTGGTCCTCGGGAGGTAAAAACCAATGGTTGGAAACAATTGGTGAATGGCTCAAAATCGTTCTTATGGCACTGGCAGATGCATCCACTCTTGTGACTTGATTTCCAATAAACTGTTTTGTTCTCGTTATTACTATTCCTTTGTTCAACCTCTGTTTACTGTCTATATATGCATTTCTCCTACTTTCTTCTCTTCCTTTTGTGCAACATGGAGTGTGGCGACTTGAACTGCACATATGTGCAAAGTCTATGTGAAAACCGACCGACCGACGAAAACTAATTCGACAAGGATAACAGTCAGACACTCAAAAATATCATGTTACTATGCATGAAAGAAAGACGCGTCCAATAATATTGCTGACTGACCATTATTAACTTATGGATAAAGGTTCAGTAAAAGAAGTTTATAAAAAACATTTAAGTGGTTGTACACAGAAAAACCGTCTTTGAGTGCTACATGTAACAAAACTATTCCAAAGGTATGTGCGCCATCATCAGTAACTTTCAAATACATGCAAAATTAATTTCTTCAATTCATTCAAAGAAGTCCTTATGCATTAGCTGATGTTTCACAAATAAAACCAGTTTTTATCGCACGATCACACTACACTATGAACTGCCCTCCCCATTAGTTAGTTCTAACTAGCACCAGAGTACAGAAACAGTTGATATTATGTAGGTCACTGGAGAGACATCTTTTTTCTTTCATTCATTCGCGTCCCGAGTGGAACATAGAGCTTCAAGATTGAGCTTTGAAGATTCAGCAGAAGTGGTGTTGGTTGATTTTTTTTGTTAGGTGCGGTCGCTAGCCTTAGGCCTAACCTAATCTGCCTTGCTGGGTTAATAAACTAAGTAGGAGATTGAGGTGCGTAGGTCGGAAATCGAACCGAGACCACGTGGATGCTTGGTGAGCATTTTACCAGTGAACCACAGACAGACACATTTGAAAGCTAGAAAAGCAGAATTCCCAATATCAGAAAGTTTCGTTCCACAATTAAAAAAATGCCAACAATACTCCACTTTTTTACTTCTCTACTGTATTAAGGTGTTACTCCTTAGTAAATGAACTAAAGAGTATTCAAATCCTACTACCTGATATCGTGTTGAATCATGTAAAAAAACTACCAAAATAAAATGGACATGTGCCATTTAATTTGACCTTTTATTCATTTCATAAAGTAAGATTTTACCGAGAATAGTAATAGTAAGGAACCTTAATTCTCAAGGAAAAATTTCGAGAAGAATGGAAAACAACCACGTAACGTGGAGGGTACAGATAAACAATTTATACAAATTCAGATGTGATAAGCGTATTGAAGAACAAAATATACACACACACACACACACTTAGAATATGGAGATGAAGTTAAAGACAAAAATCATGAAAATCGTTTGACAAAATCAATAATAAAAAACATTTTATTTTGCCACAAAACATATAGCTTATCACCTGAGCAGATTACTATCAAAGAAATGTTAACTAAATTGTCTACAGTTAGATATGCACTTATTTGTTTACTTGTCCTTATGCAGCTACATTCATCACGTGTTTGTTGAGTAAAACCTCCTTAAAGTGTTTCTATATATCACTTATAAGCTTGGTAAAGTAAACAAATAAAGTCGAGTCATCAATATCAGCCCACAGATGCATTCTGCATCACAAGATCTTCAAAAATGCATCATCTGAAAAAGAACCTTTAGTACAGCAATACATTACGAGATCCCTTAGTAGGACCCAGTTAATTACATACATCATTTAAAAAATTTTAGGAGTCCATTATTTGTATTTAATTGCACTTCAGAGGTGTGAACTACTGGTCTAGGCGTTTAACTTCCAACCACTGGGTCACGGTTTCGAATTCCACTCCACCTACTGAAGTTTGGGCTTCTACATAGTATCTTAAGCCTAACACAATAGTTGTAGTTCATCGCCAACTGCATGAAAATGCAAGTTATTGATAAGTACCACTTCTACCTTGTTGAAAACTGACATTTTTTTTCTTAAGTGGTAATACTTTATTTCTTTTGGTTGCTTATTTATTGTGTTTGATATAAACAATACTCACATTTCTAGTTTTTTTTGACGCCCTCACTTTTAATGTGTAAATTATCTGGGTCTACTTTTTAATCGATTTGATAACCCGTGTCATAATCTAATAAACATTATTGTACTCTGTGGTTTTAGTAATTTATTTAACTATCATTTTCACACTGAGTGATTTCTTTTGAATATCCTTAGCTATAGCCAAGACAGAAATTTTGTTGAGATATGTCTGTCTTGTTGCTAAGTAAATGTAACGTGTACGCGACTATGGAGTAGGAGAATGAAATCTCTACACTCTCTTTCCTATTATTCAATACGATTGTTTGACAGAGAATTATGATAAAAATCGCATAGAAAAGAGTAGCATAACGAGTTAGCTAACTCTGGACAACATAAAAATGGAGTGATATCAAAACAAAATGTTGATCTCGTTGGGAATCTAGAGAATCTAGAAGAACTAGACAGCTCTCTAGGTTTAGTTTGTAAGCACTTACAATCCCCCCCCCCAAGGGACCGTGTTAAGAAGCAAGCCCGTTAACCTTTAGTTACTGGGTCAGATGCTTATGGGTCACAAATTCTAGATATCAGTTTGCAATAAAGCATCATCGGTGAGGTATACTGTAGATTGACAGGAGTCATTAAATCCTGACTCATCTTGTAAGCCGAAAGTCCTGAAACACATCAAATCCCTAAAAACCCAACAAATGAATGTTAAAATGAAGGACAAAAAAGTACATAAAAATGTAATTAAATTTAAGATACTGAAAATGTAAAAAGAAATTCAAAGGTGTTAAAGTGTTATCATTATCCGTAACTATTTTAGGTATTATAAAGAAAATGCATATCCCACCCAATGATTACACATGAAGTAACTTAATTATCTAATAAGTCAGTTTTTTTCACTGAAACTTGAAATTTGCATTCTGATATCACTTTCACCACAGAGGACTCAGATTTCATTTAGTAAATAATAATAGAGAATGGAACTAATTAAATTAGTCATATTTAGAGACAAATTACGAGACAATATTTTCACAATTTACATTTACTAGAAAAAAAAACTCACTTGTTCAGGACTCATATACAGATCTGTGCCCACATGGTCAGTATGTCGACGTGCAAAGACAGCACGCTTTTGTTGCACAGTACTGATGTCTTTTAAGGGACGTAGTTGACGATCAATAAAACTACCATGTCCCTCATCATTATTATTCGTATTCAAGTAGTTTTCATTAGTCATTTGAGGGTATGAAAATTGTTTATTTTGATCACTGCAATTCACCGGCAACATATCCTGTTGAATTGATTTTTCATCTGACATAGAAGTGACTAAACCGAAATCAGCCAATTTAAGACGATTGCTTAAGTCAAAAAGGATATTAGAAGGTTTCAGATCACGATGCATTAAAGAATGATTATGTAAATAGGCTACAGCGTCTACAATTTGACGAAACATGGAAATTAATTCGGCACGTGGGCGTGATTCTGGAGCATTGTGCACAGCAAGCCAATCACGTAGACTTTTTGGAGAACACAATTGCATTTGAATGTATAAATAACATGTATATCTGACTTCATGTTTTAGCTGTACTCTTGCAGATCTTTTGTTAAATGAATATTTGGAAAGGTTTGAATTAGCAGATGAGTGTTTCTCAGAACCAACTGGATTTTCAAATACAATAAGGCTATCATCATCCGAATTAGGCTTGCAATGTTTATGAGAACTACAGGAAAGATGAAAACAAAATGAATAAAACACCTTTAGGATTGATTTTAAAACAATCTCAATTGAAATATACATATTAAATGTCCACTAGACATAATAGTGTATGAACATGACATTATCATTAGAAGTAGTAGAGGTGGTTGTAACCACAATTGACATACCTGAAAGAAATAGATCCATTTGATCCTACTGAATTTTCTTCAACACCTAACGATATACTTGAATGACGTGAATCGAAATTTGATGAGGAAACAACACTTGACAGACGATTTTCATCATTTCCATAATCATGACCACTATCACCACTTCTACTAGTACAGTCATCCGATAAATCCAACACCAAAGCATCCCGTGATTCCTGCCAACCAGCTGGAGGATATTCTTTCCAAGCTCGATGATAGCGCACTATGCCTGGATGATCGAGAGTAGCCAAAGCTAATCAGAAAGCAAAATGAAAAATAAAAATTATCATAAAATTCCCATGAAAACAAGCAAAACAACACTCAGTAGAATAGTTTCTCCTTCTCTACCTACATCCCTCTAGCTGGAAATTATAGATACTACTACTACCAACTAATTAACTATGTTTACGTGAATGCATGAATTCATAGTAAATCAAAAGATACACTAAGGAAAGGACCAATAGTATGTCTGAGTTACCAAAACAATACCACCATAACAGAGCAGATAAAAATCACGTTCTATGAATATCCGAAAGAATGAGATATTGCCACAATAACAGCAAAAATGAATCCAATTAATTAATTGATTAGTTGAAACTGGGTCAATGTAAAAATAGGACATAAATTTGGATTCCGAATAACACAGTCTAAAATTATTGATCTTGATTACAAGCAGCAGATCGTTGGTTACGACTTGGTGTTAAATAATAAGTTGAAGACAGTCGTTCCATACATATAAAAAGATTTCCGATTCTTCAAGACTGATCACAGGCTGATATCAGTTAGGGAACCATTAAAAACCAGGGAGTACTGGACAGCTATTTCGTCATAGTCTAGGACTCTTCACTAGTGCCCACCCAAAACGCCCACTGAGGACTGAACCCAGAACCTTCAAGTTACGAGGCGAAGTTGTTGAATATTCAGTCACTGGGATGGAATCCAATGGCCCATGAAGTCTAACTGTTATCGATATGCGACTTTCGTAATTAGTGCAGTCTGTCACGAACATTTTCCTCTTCAATACTTTCAGTATGCGAACATATGGTACAAAAATTTTCAGCGTAGTTAGTTCCAAAATACTTTTTTCTTCATACAGGATTTACGTGTAAAGAAGAAGAATTGCACAGCGTTTACTTGGAAGCAAGTCAAATCAGTGCACAGGTTTATGTATAGGTCATTTGATATAACTGAACTATTGAAACAATGATAAATCCAGATGAAACTAAGCATTTTGGTGGAAAGCAATTTCGATAGCTCAGTGATTCAAGCAGGTCGTGCTATGGACAACATCTATAAGATGCAAACTGAAGCGGGGCGGCCTCAAATCTAGATCTAGTTCACATTGTGGTCTGGGAATAGTCTCATTGGTTAACCTTGGGCCGATCGCCAGCCAATCGGAACTGTTTACTGTCCGCTGACCTAGCCGACTTTAAATGTGGCTAGAAGTGTATAAATGTGACGTGTTTTTCACTAGTAAAATAAAGTCCACTGCTAGTTTTCTGCAGTTACAGATATATTAAAGACTAGTGTAAGAAGAAAACACATATCACCTTGTTTTACCAACAGGGCAATTGATCATGCATTGACTTTCCGTCATGAATTTTATTGATCAAACATTCACAGATATGGTTAGTCTGAATATCTTTCGCAAAATTCAAGATTGTTAATCGTAATTTTCGTGCTAATTCAACTTCACAACACACTTAAATTAGTCCATACGTGTTGAGTGCTGACATAAAGTTAGCATGAATACAAAAGTCTTGATAAACATTTTTCTAATATAGGAAAAACATACAGAAAACATTAATCCTTATCACATAAGTATTCTATGGAGAGATTTTGAAGTAGCGACAAAACTAATTGTTAAGGAGTATTGCTGTGCATTACAAACTACAAAAGTGTCAAGTCATGAGGTTTCAAACCGTTATTCTGTAAACTTTTTTAACTAGAGTTCAAAACAAGGAATCCCCCCCCCAAAAAAAATATTTACTTTTTTATTTAATATCATTTTATGTGCTTTCCTTGTTGTTGTTTTTTCTGGACAGTTTTTTAATAGAACTCTGAAGTGTAACAGTTATAATTGATATGCAGGGGTATGTCACGCTTAGTGTATATTGGATTTTTAAATGATATATCCCATAAACCCACTAGACAAAAAACCCAAATCCAATTCTTACAAGTGAAGTTTAAAGAACTAGATATGTATAATTGGTATGAACGTTTACATGATAAGATCGTGTGAATAGGTAATGAAAGCTGACGGGTAACCGTGAAGCCAGATAAAAAATAACTGCAGAGAACAAGGTGAAATAGAGATGTGCTGTTGACGCCCATTGTTCCACTTGGAACCCAGGAGAATAATAATAACAGGATATTACAGATATCAATGGGAGCAATGATGTAGAGAGACAACAGCAACAACAACTTAATATACAACTCAGTTATACAAAGTAGAGCAGAATTAGTTTGTAAGCATAACTTTACTTTTGAAAAGAGCTGATAACACAATTTCTGCTTCCCCAACATGGTTATCTTATACACAGCAAGAACTAAGTTGTAAGCTAGTGAAGGGAATCAAATGTATGAAGTATTATTATAGGTGGCAGAAATTTTTTAGGCTAATCAATATGTTGGTATATCGATAAAGCCCAGTGATAAGACCAATAAATAAACTGAAATTTCCCCACCAATCCCAGCAAATTCTAATTCCCTGGGTAATAAACGACCTGTGCTAACACATACTTTTAAAGTACAAATAAACACATGTATTGATTGAAAAAAAACCTGCTTATGCCTACTGAGGTAATACTTAAATTTTTAAGCAATTAGTAACACTGTCATTCAATGTGACATGGGAATAACGACAAATTATATTTCAAAAAATAATCAAATAAGTAACAACACATATGTACGTAACTACAGGTTTGTGCAAACAAAGTTTTTGCGGTTTTATGAATACCAGATAGGAAGTATGTTGACTGAGAAAAGAATAAAGTGACAAAAACTCCTGAATGGTAGTCATCAGGTAGAGGTGTAGCTTAAAATCTGTATAACATATTGACTGCTAAAAACACAGCTAATATACACTAAATGAATTTCCATAGTCCAGAAATATATATATATATAATAACATCTTTATTCTGGACAGTATTTATAAAACCATTCCATTATAGATATATCTGCTTTGTCTTCTTCAAGAAATCCACGATATCTAGTTGAAAGTCAATTGGAAGATGTTCAGAAGTGCATTTTGAGACCCAAAGACATAACTGAAGAACAGTTAGCTCATGTATTGGAACACGTTGCTACCCACAATCAGGCCTTTCCTCAAGTTTATTAGGAACTTGCGAATCAGAAGCTTGTAAACATTTTAAATACATACAAGAGTAGATATTACCATTAAAGGTCATATCTTGGTCGAATATAAAAAACCGAACGAGAGAAATATGTGCAGTAGAGAGATGGAAGTTTTAAGCAGGTCGCCCATTATATATATATACTGAACATTTTATGGTCTTTTTTCATTCCTTTGTGTTTCCAGTGGAACATAAGGCTTCAAGCTTAGGCTTTGAAGTCTCATTATCGGTAGTGCCTTTTTACGAGGTGGGGTTGCCAGCCTAGCGTCCAACCTTCACACTATTTGCCAAGTTCACTACTGGATACGCGAGGTTTGGGAGTGTGTCAACCGGGAATCGAACCCGAACCATTTGCGGGATTGGAGAGCATTCTACTACTGAACCACCTACGCATTTTACGGTCTTAGACTTAACGATGTCGCGTGAATTTCTCAATCATATTTACTATTTATTTCGTTGATTGGTTAACCTTTCTAATAAGGAGTTTAGATAACCTCCACTGATAACTCAATTTCAAACAGTGAGCTACAATTTTAAACACTATAACATGTGCTAGAGTAAATACACTTAAATAGCTTTCACACAATAAGTGCAATTCCATAGCCTGGTGGCACATCGAACTACACTATTAGCTGAATTACAATCGACGGTAATCGTCAGTAGTTTATTGAAATAAACAAATCTATTGAAAAACAGTTCAAGGAAAGAAATCTTTGTGTGATGGTTGTCTATGAGAAAAGAACAAAATATTGATAAATCAAAGTACAGTATGATTATTAACCATTACGTTCATGATCCAGGTTTCCATTTCATCTTTAATTATCGCCTGTTACATCGGTATTGAACTGACAACAAATATATACATATATTTCATTAAAGCATACCTTTAACTTCTCGTAGAAACACATTTTTATCGTCATCAGCATCATTCATCTTAATACGTTTGATAGCATAACGGCAACCGTCTAAACGATTTTCAACTTCAAACACTTGTCCAAAACCACCACGTCCAAGGCGACGTATAAATTTGAAATCTGTTTCAAATGGAGATATGAAGGATGATTGATAAAAGGGACCAGAAACAGACTGATTAGGTGGAGACGATGATGAAGTATTTGAAGTGGAACAGGATGGACATACTGCTGTTTCAGTTGAACTTCCCGAAGAACTACTTGGTTGAACAACAACTGATTCCAGATAACATGTTTTCTCGTAGAATGAGTTATTTCTTAACCTAAATTATTGGAAATAAAGTAAAGAAAACATTTAAAAATAGCATTAGCAGTATGAATCAAAAATAAAAACAAACTGAAGCATAGTAATATTTACGCTTTACTATTAGTAATCAGGTGATTGACTGGTTTGTATTCTATCCTAATAGATAAAGCAAACTGAAGTTTATACAGTTAAAGATTAATAATTAATTTCTGTGTGCACAAAAGTGTGACTCGCATTGTATCACACACACACAAATGAGATGATCCAGCACTCCAAAGCTCACTTCGTTAAGCTTGTTTGCAGTTTGCTATTATGTAATATTATGATATGTTTCTGATCTGTTTAACCATTTATTTATAAAACCACGCTATTTTATTGTTCTTCTCACCGCATATTTCTTCATTACTCACCTATGTTATTAATAGTATTATTCTTATTATGACCTTGTGCAAACCACTTCCGTCATACCATTTTATTGACAAATCACCATGATTAGTTTGTATTTGATATGTACCCATGTAGTGAATTATGTTATAGCAAAGCCTGATGAGATTTAATTGAAAGCTATGCTGTTTGCTTGCATGTTTTGATGAATACTTTACTTTAGAAATCCTTAACATTTTAAACTAAACTAGAGAAAACCTGACTCTGTGAAAAATGGTGTATGTACTGAAAGCCCGAAATTACTAGAAATTAAGTAAATGAATCTAGAAATCATTAAAATCCGACACAGCGTTATGAAATACTTCTTTCCTCCACGTCTGCCTAACAGACATACACGTGTGATAAGGACTTTACTATGCAACTGTCGAATATCCCACTGATGTAAAGTTCAAGAAAGCGCTATAGAATATCAAGAAATCTTTAAAAAAATACAGTGTCTGCATATGTGGACTACTTTCTAGGCTATCTATTACACAGCATTAAGTATAACTGTACCGATAGAAGACTAGAGACTTGGTAAAGGAATGTTTATTTGGAACTTGGTATCTCTCTACATAGCCAAATTATGTACACCTTATCTTCAAATCACCATTTGCACAGATCCTCCGTGTTGTGCTACTTTTGGCCTTAATATTGTGATTGTTTGTGTTCCTTTCACGTCTCCCATGTTTCTCCACAACGCTGTATCATTTGCTTTCTCTAACATCGAATCTATCTCCCTGTCATTTGATGGTTTTACCCCGGTGAACGTTTCTTTATATACTACTGATAAATGTTATCAGTAGCACACGCCACACAAAAACTAGAACATCCACTACTCGATCTATGTAACAAACACCTATATACGTTCAATAAATAATAAGAATAATATGACACCATAAAATGAAAAAGACCTACTGTATATCATAGTTAATTTTCATATTCATGATCCATTGTGCAGTGAAATAAAGGATCGCAGCAACTAATGCCATCTGCATGAAATGACTGGACAAACTATATCCAAGGGAACGACTGGCTTCAGAATCATTAGGCGAATGATTTACAGCAATTTCGCTTGCACGTAAAAGAAGCATAACTAAGTCATTAGCACTACTAAATATTCGTTCCGGCAGACCATTGTTATAACTAGACTCCTCGTTAGTTGAAGGTTGTGTTTTCGTTTCTTCAGCTGAAGTATCTGAATCAAAGCCAAGTAAAGGTTTAAAGTTATCTGCATTGTTTGGAAATCCTAGAGCAGTAACTCTTTCAATTGTATCTTCAACACTGTCATCCGAAAGGAGAGGTTGAATAAATGTTTGCATTTTTGATGCTTGCGAATAAGATGCACGATAATATCCAATCAATGAAGAGGCACCAGGCTCACTAGGTTCATCTAGTACTCCATTTGTGCGTAGTGATAAGCTCTTGGAAAGATTGATCATATCAGGACTGGGAAGATCTATGCCATCTTCAACCTGCAATTAAAGTAACCGAATGAGAAGTAATATTCTAACATACCTTTATATGATTCGTAAAAACAAAACTCAGGTATGCTTTTAAAGAGAGGTAAGACATAGTCACAACACCGTCACAAGCGGTATGATAACAATTTTCAGACTACTGATGGTTGGATCTACGAAAGCTCAGCAAGCGCACACACTGACCCACAGTCACATAGCTACACAATGACAGTTCAAAAGTTGAATGGCAAAAAAGACTGATACAACATATGCTTTCGTCGAATCAGCAACTAGTGAATACTACACGATCGAGTTAATGCTTATTCAAGATATTTCAAAACTCGAATTAGACCAAAAATGAGATTTCTGGGATTACCCTTTCTTTTTCTTCTATTGAAGCAAACTTGATGCAGCATATGCACCAAAAAACAGGTCAAAACTAATAAAACAATATAAAAAGAAGAGAAACAAAAGAATAACAAGATGAGAAGGTAAGTAGCCATATTTGATGCATTCACAAGAGCACGTGTTACTCCACATTACCTTTGCTCATTGGAGACGAGGCAGACTCTAGGATGAACATCGTTGATTTCGATTGAGCTACTTAGCCACGTAATCTTTAGGAAATCACTGAGGAAATAGCGGAGTATTAACAGATGTTAATTTGACAAATTTTACCATACAGATCTCTGTAATGTATTAACCACAAACAGTCACATGGTGAGTATACAGTGAAGAGTATGGGAGACGTTGGGATTACTTTGTGACACATGCCGAGATAACTGAAGTTAGTGTGCTAAAGTGATACGTATGAGAGGATTTCCACTTTGCTAGAACATGAGCCCCTTCACTCTAAAATTAGTTATATGCTGTTGCAAGTAAACCTACATATAACAATAATCAAACGCTCAGAGTTGCAGGACATCCTCAGTTGGAAGAAATTGAATTTAAGAAACATAGTAAAACTGCATCCATCAATGTTTTGTAAACTCAATCTTTAACGACTACATTAATATAGCGACAGTACTGGCGGTGGCTCAGATTAGGTATATGATTTCTGGTCTTCGGTATACGTCGTTGGTAACTTCGTCTACCTTAGTGCTGCCGAAAGCCATACAATTGCATAAGTATACGAAATTTCTGATCACTTCTAACTGCTCTCCTGTAAAGACAAGTACAACCATAGGCTGCTGCCAACCTAGCAAGAAGATTTTCTACTTCGACGGTGCACAGAGAATACCATACTTAAGGACATTGATAATGAAATGATTAGGTAAAATTAGTGAATTATGCTGTGTCCGAGCCTTCATCTAAGAAGTTATGTTTTATCAGACCTTTAAATCAATAAACGTGATATTGTGGAGTAATAGCGCTCCGCTTACATGCGATAACAATATACTAGACATTAGTGTGACCAAAACAAAAAGCTGTACTAGAAATGTGATCGAAGTAGCTGCGCTCCGAGTATTTTCGGCACTAGCAATAAATCACCCACCCAAAGATTATAAGGAAGTTGCATAAATATAATTACCAATACGTTACACATGACCGACTGAATGAAAGCGTGAAGAAGAAAATCCTTCCATACTATATGGTAGAATAAAGTTCGACTGCATAACATTTTATTTATCTGACCATGAAGCCTACGATTCCTAACTCTACCTATTATTTATTTATTATTCCCTTGCGTTCCGAGTGGAACATAGGACTTCAACAACACATTTCCACTTTGTTCTGTTTTCTGCCATCCTCTTCAGCCAAGTCCACGACTGACCAAACTCTCTGATCTCTTTCTCACACAATCTCCTCCATGTCACCCTAGGACGACTCCTTCATCGCTTCCCATTGGGATTCCACTCGAGAGCATGGCGTGCGATGTCATTCGGCGGTCTCCTCAATTATGCCCGATCTATCTCCACTTTCTCCTACATATTTGTTGAGCGATCAGTTATTGGTTGGTTTGTTCCCTTAGTTTCTTGTTGCTAATTCTTTCTGGCCGTTTGATCTTCAGTATGGAGCGAAGGCAGCTGTTGATGAAAGTCTGCAATCTTAACTCTACCTAGACGGAGCTTAATTTAATCATAACAGACAAATATGAGGATGCTTGGTTGCAAATAATATAACCTGAGTTAAGTATTGTGCACGAAAAATTTGGGAGTCTGAAAAATCATTTCAGCCGATTTTCCGACAAACGTTATGAACAGCAAATTATACTCGACAAACAATTCTCTAATTGAACAGTTATACCGGGTTTTTTTCACACTTAACATAGCATTTCAGAAATTATAACACGTGAAATAATGAGGGAAGATCTGCTAAAAAAATCTTTTCGTAGAAACGTACAATAAGCAGGTATTTCAGAAAGAAATGAAACTCCAGAAAGTAGTTCAAAGGTTTGTAAATCGCATTCGAAATCCACAGATATTAAAAACAAATACATAGAAAGGCTCCAGTCAAGTAACCAAGACAAATGAACAAGGGGGTATTTACTTTAGAAGGACAAGGCATAAAACAAACGAAACATACTACATTAATCAGCATTAGGCTAAATGGAGACAGTTAAACCTCATACAGAACGCAAAACAAAAAAATTAGGTCTAGTTATGTTGTCCACTAACACTAGAAGTACAATAAAATACACATAAGTTTATTATACAAACTGACCTGAACATACAGCTGACCATTTAAACTACCAAGGTAAATAAGGCGATCACGTGAAACACATTTGTTTTTCTGACTATCTGTTGATGAATGAGTCTTTTTTCTGTTGAATAGATTCAAACCTTTTTCCTTCAGTACTTCAAATCTACGAACAGCAGAAGATTTTTCTTGAAATTCATTGAACTTTTCAATCAATAAGACAGTAGCTCTATCATCTAAAATTCAAAAAGGAACCAGTACAATTATAATAGGTTTTGAAACATGATAACAAATATTCTAAACACTGAAATACCACCTCATGTTTATGTGTCACACAATACATGGGTTAAGAGTAGTGTAAAAAAACCACTTCTTTGTGATTAACAAGACCTTTTGTTTAAGGTCTTAGAGAACAAAATAATTTGGATAACATTTACAGATAGTGCTGACCTACTTCCTACAAAAAGAAACTCATTAGTTTAGTACTTATAGTTTCTCTCCCAAATTGAATGTATAAACTCACCAACACAATTAACACATGTATATTTTATAGATAGGTTTAAAAGATCTGTTAACGTCAATTTTATGCCCTATCTCTATAATATGTTTCGCAATAGAAGAGCTAGGTCTCCTGTTCTCACCATTAATGGGTTCTGAAGATTCCATTTGTTTTTGAAGTCATTTAGGTATATGCTCTGAAGCCCTTACTTGCAGAGATCGATGAGTCCTCCCTATGTATGTGTCCACACATACATAGGGAGGACTCATCGATCTCTGCAAGTAAGGGCTTCAGAGCATATTCCTAAATGACTCCAAAAACAAATGGAATCTTCAGAACCCATTAATGGTGAAAACAGGAGACCTAGCTCTTATATTGTGAAACACGTATATTTATTTGTGACCGATTCCTGTTAAATGCTTAACATGAATTTTGTTACGACGTGAGACTTTGTGACTTTAGTTAAGCCTGGATATGAAAAACTTTGATTTTAAACACACCCTAACGAAAATATATAAAAACTACAAGCATTAACCTGAACATAGATTATACATTAAAGAATAGAAGGCAGTATACTTAATGGATTAAATGCAAGCAGTTCTTATCGATAATCAATAACAAGTCAACAATTACTATAAATGAGGGATGATTATGTAGATACCTGTGTTAAAATCTGTATCCTTGATTCTTACTCCCCAGTTGTAAGAAGTGTTTGTACTAGTCAAATCAACTACGCATGTATAATCCTTTAATATTTGTGAAAGTTGAACAAAATCTTGACGTAGAAAGTATCTGGAGAACAACGAACAACTATCTTCAAGCCAAGTGCTGAGTACTTTTCAACTTTACAGCAGTATGAAATAATCATTCCACTTAGTACTGATACGTTACTAATTCACTGACTTTTAGTAGTCACAGTATCGTTTAACATAGTAGACTAGGGAAGATTAGACACTGATTTCAAAGATAAAACATCCATTTAAAAGATGAATAAATACTTTATGCATTAATCGGCAAGTTAAAATGAATATATTTCAGTATTCTGGATAATAGAACTTACATGTAAACAATGGTAATGATCTTAAATTCTGTATATCTTTACGATATATCCATGCTTTTGATATTCTGGAGGTGAAGTTGAATGACCACAATTCTTCTGCATGTGTGTCCTTTGTTCGTGCTGTTATTATTCGTTTATCTAATCCAATATCCCAGTCTGGTTCCTCCATACTGACATACGACTCATCCATAAAATTACTGCGAACATGCTAAGGAAGAAAAGTAGTCATTAACAAAAATTAAATAATGTTTATTTTTATCGCCAGTAAAACAATCCGTATAAAAACAATTACCACCATAAAATATGAGGACACAGAAATATCTAGTAAGTTATAGATAGCTTATATGTGATATTATTTAATTTATAATGACTATCGAGGCCATTAAGCCTCGCATAGTTAAATAGCCCGCTAGTTTTCTAGCCGGTCCCAAGCACGGGTAAAGAGGGAGGGTTGGGCGTGGGGCTAGCAACCCCATACCAACAAATCTTTCAAACCACCACCAACAGCACGCACAGAACTGCCTGCCAGTGGACACCACTCCTCCAACGAAAGAAGAAATCCTGAATGCTATCAAGTTACTGAAGTTCAGTCGGGAAGGCAGCAGTGTCAGACGGCATCCCTCCCGAAGCACTGAAGACAGCCCGAGAGATTAGGGCAGATATTCTAACTCCATTACTGCAAAAGGTTTGGAAAGAAGGAAAGATACCTACTGACTGGAAGAAGGGCTACCTCGTCAAACTGCCAAAGAAAGGCGACCTTGTCCTCACTGTGCAAGAACTGGTGAGGAATAATGCTCTTATCTACCCACGCCAAGTAAAATATTAAGTCGCATCATCCTGGAGAGAATACAGAATGCACTGGATACAGAACTACGCCAGCTCGGAACAAGCTGCATTCAGGAAAGGCAAATCATGTGCTGATCAAACTGCAACTTTACGCACCGTCACCGAACAAAGCATAGAATGGCAGTCAAACATCTCTCTACCTCAAATTTATCGACTTCGAGAAGGCCTTCGACAGACAGTGTTGACCGAGAAGTAATTTGGAAATTACTTTAACACTGTGGCGTGCAGTGCCCAAATCTTTACCAACCTTGTTCAACAGCTGGTTATGTGACAATGCCATGTGTCAGGTGATCGGCAACGGAAAACTCATCGAGGCCTTCGAAGTGCATACAGGAGTAAGACAAGACTGTCTATTATCACCGATGGTATTGTTAATCGTGGTGGACTGGATTATGCGTCAGACTGTGCACAGGGGGTGAGGAAACAGGAGTGCGCTGAACGATTTATGAGAAGAATCTAGAAGATCTGAATTTCACAGATGATACATGTCTAATGTCACACAGACTCGGAGACTTACAGGTGAAAACCAACAAGCTGGCAGACATAGTTAGCGGCGATGACAGGACTCCAAGTGACCATAGAGGAGACGGAGGTGATGAAGATAACCAAACAACAGCAACAACAACCAGCACCAATCACCATTAACGGGAGAGATTTAACAGAGGTTGTTTCCTTCACTTATGAAGGAAGCATCGTCTCAACTATAGGCGGAACGGATGAAGATGTCAAAGTCAGAATGGGAAAGACAAGACAGACCTTTATCACTCTGAAATCAGTTTTGAAATATTTTGCACTCAGGCAGAGTAAAGAACAAGATTCGGATTTTTTTAACATAAATGTGAAGTCAGCAAGTCAGTTCTTCTATACGGATCATAAACTTGCACTGCGTGTCACGAAAACGATTTCCAAAATGTTGCATACTTTCATCAACAGCTGCCCTCACTGGCTCCTTACCGAAGATCAAATGGCTGGCCGGTAAAGAAACATATTCTCCTACAACGACCGAATTCTACTCTTACATAAATTGGCACAGTATGGGCGTCTCACGAAAATAGTAAAACGACAAAGTAGTGAAAAGAGGAATAAGAAATCTACGGAATAACAGTATGGAGACAGACAGGCAGACTTATCATTACTTCGTATTGTTCCCAGAAAGAGATTTTACTTTTCAGACACATATGATAGTGTCCCAAGCCACCGATTTGGATTATCTGTCAGACTCGAACCAGGTAGTTATGATCCATTAACAAATGCTAACCTAACACAACTTTCCTTCATTCCACCTCATGATTTGATCACCCCTCCACTTTTTCCACCCCATTCCACGACCAACAAACAGTGAACGCTATGCCGGCCACTCGGATGTCTAGATGTGGAGGCCTGATTCGGACAGTTAGCTTAATTTATGAAGTATAATCACCAGTAGGAAACACCATCAACGTAGCACTTAGAATTACTGCGTCTTGATCAAAGTTGCCATACCTTATACGTGTACACCTTGTAGATAGGTATAAGGTGTAGCCATTCGACTAACTGACTATGCTCAGCACGTGGTTAACGCCTCTCAAATGTAGGACTGGCCTACACCGAGTTCTAGTTTAAGTGCATGTGGTGGAATGATTGAATATATTGACCACAACACTTATTTGATAAGTTACAACAGGTCAAATGGACTAGTCTCTAGTGAAATCTCAGAGCAAATACAAAAAGTTCATTTGGGATTTGACTAATTCAGTCACTTTTTACACATGCATATTGCAGAGCAGTTGGTTCTATTCTACTTTACGGCTGAAGGACATGGTAAATCAAAGTACAAGATATAAAAGGATTGGAGATTTTCAACCACATACGCCTTTGTTCAATTCCTCGCAGCAGCTGGAGCAATATGACAAGGCATAATGAGGTTGTGTGGTGTTTCATAAAGGATGTGAGTCAACCACCTAGCATATGAAGCACCATTGATTGATGTGGATAATAAATGTGTCATGCATGCCAACCCATCCGCTTGTCAGCTAAAATAAGATTATGTTGAAAAACAGTTAGGAACGGTCAGAATTAAAATATGACACGAATTCATAAAGACAGTTGGTCTGAGACACATAGGGAGGTGTGATCATTAAGCTGGGGTTTTTGAGGTGCTAAGAGTTAACGGTTAGAAGTGTCTGATATGGTTCAAAATCGCTTACAGTGGCGCATATATCGACTCCTTATTATCTCCCTGATCCTAAAAACCACCAGTTTTCACTTAACTGTGCTCTCCCTCACACAAGTCCTCATCTGTATTTGTTTATTTGTTTTATGTGTGCTAAACTGATCTGATATATTTCTGTACCTAAGCTGACTTATCAGTTTGATTTAAGCTTCGAATTGTCTTACTCTTTATTATGAATCACGAAGTGAAATAAAAACTTAAGAAACTCTTTCGGCTAGGTACACAATCCAGATACCCTGAGGATTTAAGTCACCCTAACTTTCTAAATATCAAGACATTGAATACGCTTTCTATTTGAGGATTAAACCGTATAATTCTGGTTTATGCAGAGTAGTAAAAATTCCAATACGTACAATTTCCTCACCAGAATATGTTATCTCCAACTTCAGTAGAAATGCATCATCCCTATATGTCGACAAAAACAGATGAATTTAACCTAGTAAACTGAACGAGTGTGTACGAAAATTCAACTAATACCTGTCGCACTCATAACTCAGTTGCATAATGCTCCAACATCTGAATAGATGAGTATGTGACGGGAATATTGGCTTTGCTGTATTGCCTGAGTTTTATTTTCCCGTGAGCGATCACTCAGATAGAAAGTCCTAACTTACCCAAAAAGTGCATATCAGATTTCAGTGTAAACTGTACTCATATAAAAACGCCTACGATACCGTTTAGTACTGATGAATTACTTACAAACACTACACTAAGTTATCAAACAGACACTTCTCCAAAAAACTGGTACGCTCATATATGCCCATGTGAGACATTCTACACCACTACAAAAAACTTACTGGAGAATCCAAAGGTACGTTACAAAGGGGTAATGGCTTTTGAACAGCATTAATTGGTGCAGGAATCCCATCGGTTAATAAGCAAAGATCATATTTATGAACACTCATATTCCATTTCTCAACTCCCGTTGGAGCATTAATTGCGCGCACTATATTATTCACTCTGTAAGCTATTATCGTTGGATCATTTGCATTGACGTTTCCATCAGATAAGCTTTTTTCAATATTAGAGTTGGTACATCCATCACGCGTACAATTATATCTTATCTACAAAAGAATAAATATCAGAATTCAAGTCCAGAAGCTAAGACAACAAACATACAGAAACAATGAAATAAGACACCAAAAACAAAATCCAAAGCAGACAAAAAATTTCGGTTACCTTAAATATTCATTAGTCAGAAAATATTTTTATCACAATAGAGTATTCAGAAAGTACAGTGTAAACCCCACATTTCAGAACATTAACCTGAGAAAGACTAGGAAATCACAAAGCAGTGCCACTGCCATCAAAACTTCCTTCTCAACTGCGTCGTTTGGAAATATAAGTGCAGTTTCGAAACACCCGAACACATAAAGCAAAGACACTATCACAAATATGGAATACTTCACCTTTCATAATGTGAATAGATCCCAATTCTAAATCACCTGCACACAAGTTCAACTCAGAGCGTCTCTTGTAACTACCATTAACTTTCTTCTTTGTTGCCTCTACACATATCTATTCAACCAGCTGTACATCTCTCAAACTCTTCACATCTATGCAGACTGTAAAAAGGAACTATCATTGTCGGCGTTATGAAACCAATATAATACCAGAAAACTAGCCGAATTAGAAAAACAGTAACGCCCTGGATTATAAATGCATGTTGAATCTCTCAAATAGGCTCATAAGAGGCTAACTGCCTGTTTATACACACTCATCTGATCATTAGAATAAATCTGAAGAGCCTCCTTTACATTCTTAAGATTTGATGACTAATTTACTACTGCACTAGCAGTATAAAGTTCTAATGCGACAACGAAATTACTTCATTTGATAGACGTTTACATATTATTTAATCTAAGATATTTCTAGGAATACAAAATACTTTCAATATTTGCCAATCATAGCTAGAAGTTCTACTTATGCACTTAACCACTACAGTTAGAACGGTGTGAAGGATGAGTTCTGTCACAATATGCTACTTTTTGTGATAAATACAAGAAGCTGTAAGAGTGAATGACTTCCAAACAGAAAAAAAGATATTTGGTAGGAGGGAAAAGTAGTGTACATTAAACTTGACATTGCTGTGGTTAATACTAGTCGAAATTGCCCACATTGAAACGATCGGTCTATTACGCTTAAATATTTCTGAAGTTAGCCTAGTAGATCGCATACACTCTCTCTTTCTGGAATACTTACTATAATTCGGCAAGTGTTGGGATTTTTTCATTAATTTACTATTCAAACGACAATCTGATTGCAGGTAAGTGAAAAGGAGTGAATGATATATAACAGTCTATGACTACACTACTACCTTATTAACTATTTTTACAAGATATTGTTTTTGTTTTCAACTCTTATTTCTCCTCATCTGCAGCCCAACAGGTAGCTACTAGCCTCATGTAGCAGTTGGGTCGGCATATTGCAACGACTCAGAGAGATATTTTGGCTGGAACGACAAACTGCTGTTTGTTTCAGCAATCATAAATATGACTGCTTTGTCAATAAGAAAATTTTCTCTGCTGGGCTGTTTTTTCACCATTACTCAGCGGGTATTTCCGGCGTTTTGAAAGCAGCCACTAGTGTACTTTTTAAACTATGTAAGGAGTCTGAGGCCGATGTCGTACTGTTGGCAGATACGGATACGCTACGAGTGAAGTGCGCCAATGAGCAAACACAAAAACATCTGTGCCACCTTCTTGTTCTGTGGAGGAGGTTAAAAAAGGGTGATACCGCAAATTGTATTTCTTGACATTGTCATTCGTTGCCAGTGGTAAGGTGTTCTGCACGAAAAAATCTCCAAAACCTCCACCTGTGACTGATTTCAAACAGTTGTCCCCTGGACTCTATTTGCTTAATACTCTTGTCTTTCAGATAATCCATAAATTGATCAACCTTCACGACATGTAAGCCTATGGAAAAACCAGTGACAGCACACTTCTACAAGTATAAAAAATTGGTATAAGTAAAGTATACCGTAAAAAGGAACTTTGACTCTCCCTTTTTCTGTTGGATTAGATGTCCCAAGAAGCACATTTACATATACTGAACCGCCAATGAAATCCACAACAGCTAGTTTAAGCCACAGGGAGGTGTAAACTTCCTGGTTGGGGTCCTTGGGGTGGTAAAAGCCGATGGCTGGAGACAATCGGTGACATGGCTCAAATTCGTTCTCAATGGCGCAGATGAATTCAGTCTTCGTGATTGATCATATCCAATAAAAATCTACTGTTCTTCCATGTCACTATTCTTTTAGCATTACACTTCTGTTATCTCTTTTGAATTCCTCTCTACTCTCTCCTCTTGCTTTGTGTGATACATGGAGGGAGAGTGGCAAGTTGAACTGATGCACATCTGTGCAAAGTTCTACGTTGAAACCAGTCAGTCAGTAGGTTTCGTAAAGCACGCTGAACAAATACAAATTAAAGTACGGAAAAGAATTGAAAACCAGTAATAGTTGGTGAATATCTGTAAAATAGTAATAACGTAACATAACAGACTAAATCATACATGCATGCCAACGTCAACATTTAGCCACCTAAACTGTTATGACTAAATTCAATCGTACGGACCCTACTTAGTGAAAACCTAAGACTACAATCAGTGTTACAAGTTCTGAGATCGGTACATTCATTGATTCAGTGACTTTGATTTTATATGTGTAACAACAATCACTTACTTTTCCATCATTAGGATTGAAAGCAAAAGTTGAGTGGTCTCGTCCTCCAGTTAAGATGGACTCTTCCGTGAGCATAAAATTCGAGGAAAATAAAGAATCAATATTCAGTGGTAGTGCTTTTAACGATGCCTCCTGAGACAACTCCAGGTCATTTGTTAATCTCCTCTCCATTAAGAAAAGCTGTCCTTCCAGAGATGGGACGATGTTATATGACTTTGTCTTCGTCATGAGCTGAAAAATTACCGATGATATTAAATTATTTCAATACCTGTAGGTCACTGAGGCTTTGAGAAACAAGTGGAGGGCCATCTATCTTCCATAATTCTTTTCCATTTTCGATATCTAAGCCAATAAATGAACCATCAACTGTATTAGCTATCAGTATCCTGAAAAGAAGTACTTATTTAAATGGAAAATACCCACCCCTTAGCACTATGAGAAGGTGTACTTTCCGCACTTATAATCAAAATGAGAATGCAATAAAAAAAGAAGGGGAGATGGTACGAAACCAACGACTTCAGGGACATAACTTTCACGTCATATCATTGGTCGTCGACATTTGGAGTTCCGGCAAGGTTAGGAGCAACAATTGAATTTAGTTGGTAATAACAATCAAATCGCTTACAATAACTGCAGTACTTACGGCTATTGTTGGCATTATGCATTAGTTTTCTTGATAGTACAGAAGTAGGAACTAAGATATCATCTGTTCTCCAGGTTTATAGAACTTTGTTGAGATTATCGTTATGAATCCCTTGCCTTTCAATTGGAACATAGAGCTTCAAAAGTACATTGTAATTTTGTCGTGTTCTCTGAAGTTTCCTTCATCTGGCTCCACGATCGCCTATTGACTTTCATCTCCACCTTACACGATTTCCCTCATGTTACCCTAGGACCCACACCCATTCATATCCACAGGAGGACCTGGCATGTGATATTACTTTACACCTTTTTCAACCTATGTCCAGTCCCTTTCGATTTTCTCCTGCATGTTTGCTGAATGAAGGGTTCATGGTTTCTTCAATAACAGAGTTACTTTCTGGCCATCTTTTTTCTGGAGGTTTACTTGATTTTAAGTATCCAACCAGAGAAGATAGCTGTTGATGAATGTATGCTTGTTGGAAGTACTTTTCACGGCGCTGCAGATCTGTGAAGCGTACAGAAGTAATGGCTGACCTAGCATTAGTGTTGAAGACCTGGGTCGTGCTCTTCATGGTGAGCGCAGTCAATTTCTACACTGGTTTAAGATCAATGAAGGTCTGTCTCGCTCCTGCGATTGTCTTCAAATCACCGTCAACAGATACACTTCCTAGTAGCCTTGAGTGTTTTATTTTTTTTTTGATTTACAGCTTGATTCCACACCGTATTTTCAGTACAAGTGTGGAATTTTCAGCATTGATATCGGTAGCCCAAATTCAGGCCGACCATAGATATCGGGTGTGCGCCGGCAGGGTATCGAACCCCGGACCATGTGCATGGTCGGTGAGAGTTCTAACCACTGTGCCACCCTTCACTAGTTGAGGCAGCGTTAAGAACAGTTTGGACAACAGATTAGGTGGGCTAGGCTAAACAGTCAGCAGGTAGTGTGGCCAAAGCTCATGTCTAGCAAGAGAGACAGTCACACATAAATCGTGAGCGTTATTTCTAGTCGAAACAAACTGGAATAGAGTTCGAAGTCGTCCAAGCAACTTAACTAATTAGTTCCCTAGAAGTTCACCTTACTTATTCATTTTGTTGAGATGACTAGCTGTTGCTGCAACTGATGGCTTTACTGATGTATTTATGCAGTTTATGTAGAAGCATTTTACTGTTTGCTTGTAGTGAACTTGGTTATTGCGCATACCTTCGTAGTCCACTGCTAGACTTGACGTATTACAGAGATTACGCTCCCAAGCACATTGAAGTAATTCGATCTTACGATTTTTTTCCTATGAACAATTTATAATCCATATTTCATATAAATAGGTAAGTTTATATGAAGTGTATATTATTTTTACAGTAACGACCAAACGTACTTAAGGCTTAGGTCAACTACTACTCAAATTAGCATTCAGTAACATTATTTCACTGGAAACTCCACAAGCATTAGAAAGTAACAAAACATCAAATTTCTAGTGTATATTAATCCTGCATTTTATCAGACAAAATTATTCTTTTTGGAACAACACTCCTAGACGAAAAATGAAAACATGTATCCGTCAAAATTAAGTGGGCACGGTAAAGGTCTGCATAAAGTTGCATCGGAATCACTAACCTAGCACTTGTAAGTGGTATCAGGAAGTCATTCCACTTACTTGCTGATGAGTTCTTTAAGCATAGCTGATTCGTTGATAAGCTGTTATCATGAATTTATGCGGCCTTTTAAAAAAATAAATGGCGGGAAATAATAGAAAAAAGTGCATAATTTCATTTAAAAGCATGCTGATCTATAAGAGAGAGGTGGAGAGAAAATCGGAAAAGTCTTGGTGATTATCTGTCAAGAATAAAGACTTCACCAACAAAGGCTCTTCAGATATTTCCCAGAGATTTTGCAGTATTACTTTCCATAAAGTATTTCATGATGACGTATAATAATAATAAGCTACTTCTACAGTGTCATTTTAAAGTGAGAGACCTTAGCGAAAGGCCTGTACAAACTACTACATATTCAACTATCATATTTATATTTCAGATAGCCATGAATCAGTCTTACCTGCCGGATATATGGGTGATATATTTAACAGATTTCATACTGGATTACATAGTTTTCAAATGCCCAGTTTTTATAATGTAGCGGTAAATAATTCTCCAAAATTATTGGCCATAGCACTCATCATTGAATATTGGATGTTGACCCTCACTGTTTTAGTCAACTTGTTTAGCTGAAGGCTTCCAGTCAAGCATCCACGCCATTTGGTGCTCCATCGTGTCAAGTCGTTCGTTCGTTCGTTCGTGCACGATCCCTAGCTGGCTAAGCAATCATCTCGCGCTCCGATTTGATCCCGAAATATATCTCGCAATTCGGACGATCAATTCTTGTGTTTTGCTTTGCCTTTGATCTACGCGGAACGAATACTATAGAAGTTGTGGATATTAGATTTTGCGTTAGTAAACGTTGTACTATTCGTGAACGTCAATACCGTCAGCCTCTAAACTGGTGAGCCCAACCGCGAACTTCATCTTTGGTAAATACACAGACAAATCCGGTGAGTTCGTTCCATTTTGTATTTGTTTCTGTACTGTTCTTAAACTATATATATTTCGCTATGAGTGATCCTAGTCCTAAGGTCATTCGTATTCGCTCAACTGCCAAAACCATTCAGCTTGTACCATTTTGGCCAGATAATGTTGAAACATGGTTTCATATAGCTGAGTCTGATTTTAGTGAGCGTGGGATAACCGATCAACGTTCACAATTCCTTACAGTTGTTCACGCCTTACCGCGGGAATTCAGCAAATAAGTAACTGTGCAGATGTCGAGCCCGGAGATAGACAACTCGTATGAGCTACTTAAAGCAACGCTCCTAAGGAGAACAGTTCTCATGGATCGACAACGTCTTGATGAACTATTTCGCAACGTGGAGTTAGATGATCAGTCAGTCGTGAGCATGCTAACAAGAATGAGGGAAGTTATTGGCCACCATCAGTTTAATGAAGGACTTTTCAGAGAACTGTTCTTATCCAAACTGCCACAGCCATTACAGGCTGTGCTGGCGACACTTCAGGGTGTTATTATAGATGATTTAGCTGTTTCTGCAAATAAAATTCTAGGAATAACTAAACGGCCAGTTAATGAAATATGGTCAGTTGCCAAACACACTGCTAATAGGGACACGGCAGTGAGAGAGTTATGCAACTCTGTCCAGTAGCTACTTAGGTCAAACATATCCTGTAATTCTTCTAATCGTCGTCCTAACCTTCCTCAGCGGCGAAACTCACGTGGTCGATCTAAATCCAACCCAAGTTCACTAAAAAACCTGACTGGTTTTGGTATCACAACGCCTATGGCCAGGAAGCGAAATGTTGGCGAAAACCTTGTAACTTCGGCAATGTCTCAAAGTGTTAGTGGAAACCGTCGCCAGTGGCACTAGTCACCTACTTTACATCCGTGATGTGGTCAGCCAGACACGATACTTAGTCGACACAGGCGCCGAAGTCGGCGTCTTTCCTGCTACAACGGCAGATTGACAGAAGGAACCTACCTTAAACTTACAGGCTGCAAATGGAAAACCAACTACAAACTTCGGTAGAAAATATGTCTATCTAAACGTAGGTTTAGGCAAACCTATTCAGTGGATTCTACTTATCGCTGACATCACAATGCCCATCATTGGCACGGACCTACTTAATCATCATGATTTACACGTAGACGTCCACGAAAACGACTGATAGACAGTACTACTAGACCGTCTATCAAAGGCATCACCTACGTAGGCCATAGCTTGTCACTCGTTAAGAAGAAGGCAATCTTTGATCCAGCTTTCCAACCGATTGTTGATAAGCACTCGGAACTTATTGCCCGTATAACGATCTGCCGTGCATAACCGGCAATGTTATTCACCGTATCGTAACCTCAGGACAACCCGTGACATCTAAAGCACGACGAGTTGCTCCTGACAAACTACGACTCGCTGGAAATGAGTTCGACCATATGCTCACCCTTGGCATAATTCGACCATCGAATAGCTCGTGGGCGTCCCCACCGCATATGGTACCGAGAAAAGATGGCAACAATTGGCGA